TTGCAATGGCATGCTGCGAGCCCAGGACCGTGACGCCGAAACACAGTGAGCAAACGGAGGGAGAGAGAGGGGAAGACAGCAGCACATCGCTCACTGCCACGGGGTGGCAAGTGCACCCCAGCTGCAAACACAGGCAGCGGCTTCAAGGGTGTGAGCAACCACCCATTCCAACCACGACCACTTCTCCTACCATGCGCACGCCCACAAGGAGTGAAAACATTTCATTACAGCTGATTTAGATTCTTACAAGTGTCTGATTCTCCTCGGAGCGTGAATTCAGCAAATGTAAGGTTCCGAAAACCGAGGCATAAAGAGGTCAGGTGTATCCATGTGACTTGAAGCTTTGTCCCTGAGCAGTGCCCAATATAACCGCAGCACACGCACAATCTCACCGTCAGCTACGCTGATGAAGAACCGCCTGCATCTTCTTTTGACTATGTATTTAACACACCCACAGTTTCCAACTCCGTCCCTCCCAGCAAACTCCTGCCTATTTCTGCAAGACACCATGTGCAGACGCGCATTCGGTCGCCCGTCACCAGGCTGATGGATCCTGCGTGTCTCAGCCCAAAGCTGGCCACTCCTGTTGTTGCACGTAGGTCCCCCGGTCTGTCTAGCCTCGAAGCCTGAGTAGTACTGCTGAAATGAGGCAAAGCCAGTACAACGGGATCTCTCCTTCGCTAACACACATTAGGTAATGAAGCGGAGGAGATCAGCCTTTCCAAGAGCAACACGGCCCCGCGAAGCAGGGTATCACCGCCCTACCCCTCCCAGCACCCTTCCGCAACACCTCTCTGCTGCGCTGGGTGCAAGGGCACTGAGCACCAGTGGGGCTAATGAACCAAAGGGCTTCCAGGGAGCTACCGCAGGCTACCACTTCTCCAGGGTTGAAGTAAAATGGGTACGCAGCCTTAAGGCCACATCTCAGTTTTTGTTTTCAGAAACTGAACGGACTAGGCTCAGTATTCGAGGAGGAGGAGTCAGAACCTTAGCACTGCGGTAAGCTTCGTGTTTCTGGCCGCTGAGCAGAGGGGGTGGGAGCGGACCCTTGGGAAGAGAAGCCGGGAAGGACTGTGTGAGTGCTTTCCTCTCCAAGGCAGAGGGAGGCTGCGGGAAGCAGCTGCTGAACTCACGCGCCGCCTCTCTCCCAGCCAGCCAGCAGGCTCTCGCTGCGCGCCCTCGGCATCAGCCACGCCGGGGGGGG